AGTATTAACAATAGAACACACAAGCATGTGTCAGTTGTCACACTGGTTGGGCCATATTTAGAAATTACACATAGTTCCGAATACCTTTGCATTTTTGAAATGCATAGAGATTTTTATCTGAATGTGTTAAAGTAAACCAAAATTCTTTTTATAAAGACTCTTTCAGTATTGCAACACACAGCCATTCAACTGTGACTATTCCTAAACTTGTTTTGAGTAGCATATATACTGAACAGCAAACAAAATGTAAGTCTGACATTCTTTTAATGCCTTTCTATTATTGAAATTATGTTTGAGCATTATCAATAATGTGAGGAATATAAAGTCTGAATATGTTTGCGCATTATCGATATATGTGAGGAATATAAAGTCTGAATATGTTTGCGCATTATCAATATATGTTAGGAATATATAGTCTGAATATGTGTCCGTATTATCAATAATGTGAGGAATATAAAGTCTGAATATGTTTTTGCATTATCGATATATGTTAGGAATATAAAGTCTGAATATGTTTCCGCATTATTGATATTTGTGAAGAATATACAGTCTGAATATGTTTGCGCATTATCGCATATACACGCAATTGAGATGCAATGACATGCATCAACCAAGTCAGTGAGCCTGACCACCCGATCCCGTTTGTCGCCTCTCAGGACAAGCATAGTTGCCTTTTATGGCAATCTTGAGTTGCTGAAGACCTATCCTACCCTGGATCTTCACAGGGGAGACAAGCATGGGTTGCTGAAGACCTATCCTACCCTGGATCTTCACGGGGGAGACAAGCATGGGTTGCTGAAGACCTATTCTACCCCGGATCTTCACGGGTCTGGCATATGTATATGTAGTGAGACCCTGGCTGTTTGCGGTTGATACATGACATCGTCCTGAACATTATTTGGCATATAAGCTGGTAGATACAATTTCACGTAATGGTTTCATATTATATATTTTCATGACACTATCATGTCTATCACTCCAATTGTCAATGAATAAATATGAAGTACCATTTATTAACTATGTACTCAGATAGGACACATGACATTTGATGTAATGTTGTGCAAGTCTGGGCCCACTTGCACAAAGCGATCTTAGCGCTAAGATGATTGTAACTCCCATACTTTAACATAGGTGTACAATAGTCTTAGCGCTAAGATCACTTTGTGCAAGTGGGCCCTGGTCTGATCTTGATCAGTGTCATTCCATGCATCCGTGCATTATGTACAATTTAATACAATTGTATACAAGATGCAACAAACAATTATACAAAAACAGAACTATGTAATACAGTGCCAATTAGGTCTACAAGCCCACCCATCCAAGAAAACTTGGTCTAGCAGGTTCAGATTTGAGGGATAAATTTGAATTTTTTTAACTGCAATTTCTTTAAGTTTTTGAGCATATGTCTAGTGAGTAATGCACTGTTTATTTCTTTGTTGTTTAACGCCGCACTCAGCAATATTCCAGCTATATTTCGACAGTCTGTAAATCATCAGGTCTGGACCAGACAGTCCTGTGATTGAAATGAGCATCGATGTACGCAATTGGGATCGATGACATGCATCAACCAAGTCAGCGAGCCTGACCACCCGATCCTGTTAGTCGCCTCTTACGACAAGCATAGTCGCCTTTAATGGCAAGCATGGGTTGCTGAAGACCCCCTGATCCTGTTTGTCGTCTCTTGCAACAAGCATGGGTTGCTGAAGACCCCCTGATCCTGTTTGTCGTCTCTTGCAACAAGCATGGGTTGCTGAAGACCCCCTGATCCTGTTTGTCGTCTCTTGCAACAAGCATGGGTTGCTGAAGACCCCCTGATCCTGTTTGTCGTCTCTTACAACAAGCATGGGTTGCTGAAGACCCCCCGATCCTGTTTGTCGTCTCTTACAACAAGCATGGGTTGCTGAAGACCCCCTGATCCTGTTTGTCGTTTGGGAGATAACCCAGTCCTCACTATTTTCCAGGATTCCGTTGTTGGAAAATAATATGCAGAAAAGCCCTTTCTTGCAGAAAATCACTTTTGGTGCGGAAATAGTGCAGAAATTTGCATTTTTCTGCCACAGAATTCAACAAATTCCTTGAAGAATTTTTAACTTGTAAGCTGATTTTAAACATGTTACGATTGCATAGTAACTGAAACTAAAAAGACAATATAATTTACAAATGATCTTTGAAATTATACGTTTTGATAAATGGCTAAGTGAATCCATTTAATTTTGCAGTCTAGTTGTATTATTGCTTACCAAAACTGTACATTTGTATGTTTACACTGGTGATTGTCAGATTCACTTCAGCTATTCTAGCCATGGATAATTGCCCCATGAAGATCCGGGGTAGAATAGGTCTTCAGCAACCCATGCTTGCTGTAAAAGGCGACTATGCTTGTTGTAAGAGGCGACTTATGGGATCAGGTGGTCAGGCTCACTGACTTGGTCGATACATGTCATCATATCCCAAATGCGTGGATCGATGCTCATGATGTCAATCAGTGGGTTGTCTGGTCCAGACTCGATTATTTACAGACCGCCGTCATATAGCTGGAATATTGCCGAGTGTTACGTTAGACAACAAACAAACAAACAAAAAAATGGATAAGTTTATCAGAAAAATGTGTACTAGTCAAACAGATGCAATAGACAAAATACACGAAAATTAAGCTCAAAAGTTTTGCAGAAATGTGTGCAGAATTATCAGTTTGGTTGCATAATTGACCACAGAACATAATCGGCCGTGGAATACTGCAAGGACTGATAACCAACCTGAATGATAAAAGAATGTGTCATGGATAGCAGGGTTGAAACTAGAGATTTTGTATTGGATCTATTTGGTATGAAATCATCAAGTGTGACACCAAACAAAGAAGTCGGCTGCTTATATCATCGTCCTTGACAATGACCTGTTGACCTTGCCATCTACCGGGGTTGATGGACAGGAGAAATATGTCGTGAGACTATATCAGTTTCTCTTCGTTGTTAAGAGATATCAAGGGCCATCTTTTGTTCGACTTATTTAAACATGACCTTCACGGAATGTCTGTTTGGCCCTCATATATCTGAAGTATTCAAAACCAGTTTTTTTAGGTCACTTCTAACCACCTAAAAACTCTTTGTCATTGATTGACATCATCTGGAGCCCTGTGTACAAGATATGTTGCATCGTACCAGGTAGACCTTGCAATCTTGTTTTTAACCTACTGTATTCTACGTAATAAGTGCCCCGCTCTAATAAGCGCCCAGGGCGATATTTGCTAATATATTGGCTAGTGAACAATCCCAATTAGCACCCCTTCCGATTGATCAATGTACACAGACTTATTTATGCACCCTTAATTTTGGCAATTAAATTCTGGAAAAATACATCGGTCATATAAACATTTCAGGCTGTCAGGATAAACCACGAAACTCATTTTTTTCACCAAAATAATATTTTGATAAGAGCCCTCTATTTCTAATGTTGAGAGCGCTCTGGGCGCTTATTACCTCGAATACGGTATATTAGTTTTCATGGACACCCAAACAGCCGTATTTTTCAGACTCATCAAGTGTAGCTTTGTTGTAGAAACCCTCCAAATTCAAACAAAGAAAGTTCCAACTGAAATGTGATGTTTAATATTTTGAATTAAAGTCTAATCTATAGAATTTCAAGTAACATAGAACACACTCATCAGCTTCTGTTGTTAAACTAGGGGCACGGTTGGCCCAGTCGTCTAAGGCACAGTGATTCGCTTTGCAGAGTTGCGTCCCTTGGGCACGCTAGAAGTTCAAATCCCGCTTCGCCCCGATTATATTTCTAGGTTGTCAGCACCATACCCGTGCTCGTGGGTTTCCCGAAGTGGTAAACATCTGAGACCTGCATCACTTCAGGCTTTCCTCCCACATTAAGCTGACACGCGGTGATATAACTGGAATACTGTTAAAAGCGGCGTTGAGCCCAACGCCCTCAATCTCATTCAAAGATCCTGAATAATTATTTTGTCAACAATAATTGAACAACAATAAGCGACCACACATAAAAAGAATCCAAACATGAAAGTATTCAATTCAATTCAGTTTATTTCATAAATGTAGGCCATGATGACATTTGAATACAGTTGATGTACATAAAAGTAATTGATTATATGCTTTTGTTGAAAAAATGATTTGGTTTTGGCTAAGGTCAATGCTGTTTCAATGCAGAATCAGATCATGCTGATGATTGCAAATGAATGTGCTGATATGTCGGCTGGAACTACCATCTGTTGTTTTGATATCTAAATCAATCAGAACTTGTCTCTCAGTGGACCGGAAACAATTAACATCATGTTTGTGTGCACCGGTAACGTTTAGTTTTATTCTTTTGAATACACCTACACAGCATTTATGCAAGCTTTGCAATCTCATTAAAATCAATCCTTAGTTCTCACTACCGCTAAACAAAGATCTGAAGACATCCCATTAGGGGTCACGTCAGAACGACCTTTCATTCGACCAATCAGTGCGTCGCTTACCAGATTATGAAAGTGACAGTCGGAATGTGATTTCTAGTCATGCAATCTCGAAAACTTTAACATGGTGTATTCCGAAGGATAGTTACGGGTTTAACGACTGAATCCATACAATGTAGACCATCTTTTAGCGATTCCAGAATGTTATTTTGTTCAGGGGTCAAATTTGTAATCGAGAATTTGTCAAAATATGTTTCGAAGCGTAGTCGCCAATTTGAAATTTGTGTCGGAAAGCACAAGAAAGCTGCCTTCTGATTGGTCATTCCATTGGTTGGTCAAAGTTCGCGCAAGGTCGTCCTGATGTGACCCGTAATGGGATGTCCTCAGATCTTTGTTTAGCGGTAGCGAGAACTGAGGTCTGATTTTAATGAGACTGAGCAAAACTGAACTTGTTTTGTGTCAGCACATAAGGGCTTGTCACGTGATTGGAGTCACAAGATGGCTGCAATTGCTTTGTATGAGATTTCATGTTTGTAGTTCAACATGCGTAATGATCTATTTTGATGTATGTCTGTTGCAGGTGTGCATGGTAGTCGCTACGTGACAACCCACGGAATTTCTGTCAATTGTGACACAGACTTGGACTGGTATAAACACATAGTCCCGTGTGGAATCGAAGGCAAAGAAGTCACATCCCTATCCACGGAACTGAGAAAGACAATCAAAATATCCGACGCAATCTATCCATTCCTGAAATCCTTCGAGCACACATTTGACTGCCAGATTGAGTATTCCCTCCTCGAGGCGTCGGACCTTCACGGGATGTACACCCAGTCAGTGCAGCCTGCGCAGCAGGTGCAGGCGGTCAGGCAGATGTCCACGTTGGTGCCCAGAGCCAAGTCCAACCCGATGTGGTAAAGGCTTGGAGTGAGTGAGGATGTGAGATTATGAACAAGGTGTTGAAACACTGAGTATTGATGTGAAGACACCACATACGACCTTGACCTTTATTTTCATGTGACCTTCATTGTCTTGACCTTGACATGACATTTCTTGAACGTTGTACAAGAATTGGTATTGGGATAGGTTCCGATGCTTAGTATCTGATGAACACAACATGTGTGACCTTGAACTTGTGCTGACCCTTGGTGTCTAGTAACCTTTAAGGTTTATTCTACACTATGTGCTGCAAGGTAGGAAGATCTTTGGCTGATCTGCAGATTAAGACTCAGATGAGTGAAAAAACCCGAAAAAGGCAATATATGGCCGATTAAAAAGGGGTAAACGGCCTTTAAGGCACCTCGTATTGGTGCTGAAGTCGAAATGCTTCCTTCTCATCTCCCATTGTAGATAATGTAATGTTTCTCTGCCTTGAGTGCAATGTCATGTAGATTTATGATAAACTGTATAACATGTTAGTGATATGTGTGACTGTGTGGATCAGTGTCACATAATGAGAATCGTTGAAGGTAACCATGATTGACGGGTGTAATTCTGATCACATTTTGTAATGTGATAATAACAATAAATTGTGTTTCAAGCTTATAAATCAAAGGTGGTCTCAATAGGGATGGCTAGGATGTTTGTAATATCAGAAAATGTGACACCTAGAGAGTTCTTTTGTTGTTGTTTTTTTACAGGTAAAATAAAGAAATAGAAGTTTTTCATGAAACTAAGGGCCGGGGTGGCCCAGATGTCTAAGGCGCCGTGATTCGCTGTGCAGAGTTGCATCCCTGGGCACGCCAGAAACCTATGATCGTGGGTTCGAATCCCGGTTCACCCCGATTATGTTTCTAGGTTTGTCGGCACCATACCCGTGCTCGTGGGTTTCACCGAAGCGGTAAACGTCTGAGACCTGCATCACTTCGGGCTTTCCTCCCAAATTAAGCTGACATGCTGCGATATAACTGGAATACTGTTAAAAGCGGGGTTAAACCCAACTCACTCACTCTTGAAACTATGCACTTTGATCATAAGTTAATGAGATCTTGTTAAAGAAAGATAATAAAAAAAGTAGTGTGCACTTGGTATGAAATCAGACAACCATCTTGCAAAATGTGTCCTGAGATGTCGGGTAGCCTATTGGTTAATGTGTTTGCCTGTCACACCCAGCTCGGGTGGGCTAAAGATAGTATGAACCATACTCCGTCTCTTGCTCTGACTTCGATGTAGGCATGTGACTTCGATGTAGGCATGTGACTTCGATGTAGGCATGTGACTTAGGTGTAGGCATGTCGTAGGAAGAGAAGTGTGGACTTGAGTAGTGTGAAGCTTCATTGGATGAAACGATACAACAGTGCATCGTGAGTTTTCATGCGACGATACAATACGCAATACGTTTTTTTCTGTATCGATACAATACACTTGCTAAATTAAATTACATACTACTTGTTCAATGCCCCTGCCCCCAGCGTTTTTTGGCAGTCAAATATTACAAAATGTGCTGTAATTAGCATTTCAAGTTTACTAATCCCAATACCCACTACGAACATATGTCTACATGTGTTTCTTTTGAACCTGCTCCGAAATATTGAAAGTCAAGTTTCCACGTGATTGTGATGTAAATATGGGTTTTGCGATATGTATCGTATCGTGACCTACCTATCGCAATACATATCGTACCTTGACCTTACTATATCGTTTTATCTCTAGAAGCCTCTTGTGCCTCGGGGATTACCAGAAGCGAAATCCTGCGACGCATAAATATTGCAAATAGACGCGAGAGAAATAGGAGTACATTCAGTGAGAGGCAGAAAATTTGTGTGCATGTTTAGGAATTTACTTGTGGTAGAGTCCTGTCTCTGTACCTCTTGGGGGAGATGCCTGGTTGAAAGGTCCAGGGGCCGTTTCACAAAGCGATCGTAGCGCTACGACATCCATAACTCCCATACTTTTAACATAGTCTTACGACCGTCTTAGCGCTAAGATCTCTTTGTGAAGCGGGTCCCAGGTGGTTAAAACGTTTACAGTGAGGTGATAGATGTGTTTGTATTTGGACAAAAATAGGCCTCTGAAAACCAAAACAAGACTACCTAGTTTGTATAAATATTATAATTCAGCCCAGCTTTGGGATATGGATAATTGGGCCTCAATCCTACCAAATCTGGAAAAAATATTTTAGATCTGGAAAATGAGAACTTGACATCAGTTGTGTGCCATTAGGTCTGATTGATAATTTGAATATGAACACGTATTGATTAATGAACTGAGACCTGATTGGCTTGTCAAACGCCTTCACATTGCCTACTTATAATACTAAAAATAAGCAAAGGATCACCCGATTCATTCATATTGCGATTGTTCCATCTGACAGATTACTAGAGTAATATGAAAGAATTAGGGGTCCTTAACTTATTTTGAGTAGTATAGTGTCAATCTTTGTGTTTGTTGAATATTATACAATATGGGATTCTTAATTGTAGGGTAATGGTTCTGTTTGTGTTTGTTATGTTACTATTACAGTTTTTGTTTTATTCACCATGTTTTTTACCAGCACATGGGATATGCTTTTGTTGAGTTGAATTTGAATTTGAGCTTGAGTATTTGAGTGGGAGAAAAGAGATGTCCAATCACAGGTCCAAGCTGTAATGAAAATGTGAAGCATGAAAATGTGAAGCATGTATGGAACAACATTAAGGCCATAATTTCCATCTAAGGGCCTGGGAGTTTTGTTGTGATATATTTTTTTCTCGAACCTGCATACGAGCACACACATGTGACACACACAGGCATACAACATAGGACACACACAAATATGCAACTTAACATACCTTTTCAATTATTATCTTCCTGGATGGGTTCAAGTTGATTTGTCATGTACTATCTCACCTTATACATTGTTTCAACATTGGCATTATTTGAATATAGGTAATTATGGTTGTTCATGGACACATTAATCTTTGTGTAGGACACTATGCTTGTAAACTGGCCAACATATATGCATATTGAACAGGTATTTTCCATGTTTGTCAGTTTCCACACAGAGCTAGTAATCCCCATTTCATGACCTGGGTAGACTATAGCATGCACACTGCTGACTTGCATGTCAGTACCTGAAGCCATTCATATATTGTAAGGGACTGACGATTTTATTTTGAGGGGGGTGGGGGGGGCCTGAATATTCTTTCTGGAAAAACACCTGGTGGGGGGGGGGAGGGAGTGAAGTTTTTTGTGGCAGACAGTCTGAAACATAATTATTTTGTTCCAAGAATTTTCTGGGACAAATGTTTTTAGAGGGGATAATATCCCCCCAACCCCCTACCACCCACAGAATATATGGTCGGTCCCTAAATAGATTATTTCTCCGCATCAATACTATATCCATGTTTCACCATATATATTTTTAACTGTGAGCTATCTGAAGCTCTGAAAATAAACAGAAAACAGTTCAATTCAAATGTAAAATTAGTTCTATGTGGGAGTTTTCCTCCTTCACAATCCTGATTTAAGTAGCTGTATGTGACAGTTGCTTGACAATTTCTGAAACAATATTTTCCTGAGGTCACTTATGGCCACTTAGCAGGTTTCATTTCAAGCAATTAAACCAATTAATGTTTGTGTATATTACAACTAACTTTCAGTCAGCTGTTGTATTATGTTACATAACACTATACTACTCATTATTTGATAGAGACAGATATTTCATACTATGCTACTCAAAAGAAGTTAAGGAACACCCCACTATATTTAATGTTATCACATGACAAGAAAACAATATGGTGTTCTTTAACTTTTTTTTAGTGGTATATATGGATCTGTGTGTCCTAAGTAATCAGTTGGGTGTATTTGGAATATCCCTACCAAACGTTGAGCAGTTTATTCCCGGTGTTCCGAGAGCAGTATTATGGGGTCAATGGTGCTCAACATTACACTACGCAGGCCAGCCAGCATGTTACTAAAACGTGTATGTACATTTACACTGTGTAACCATGAATTATGGAAAAGTTTAATAAAACCATTTTAAGACCAAAATGCCTTTGTTTATGATGTGATGGGTTTTTTAATCAGTTCTTACTCATTCTGGGATACAGTGGCCCAATCGTTGATGGCGCTGCAATTCGATGTGCAGAGATGCGTCCCTTGGGCAGAGAGCTACGATCGTGGTTCAAATCTAGCTCGCCCACTTCGTGGCAGACCGCCTCCGTGGTCTTGTGGTAGAGCGGAAGGTCCGGGGTTCGATCCCCGGCCCCGTCATACACTAAGACGTTAAAAGATTGTACTTGTTGTTACCCTGTCTGGCGCTCGGCATTTAGGGGGCTAAAACAAGGACTGGTCGTCTCGGAGTCAGTATACTGTGTCTGAGTGGGGTATTCATGTTAAACTGCTGCATGGTATCTCAGTGAGCTAACACTATAAATTGGCATCAGTCCGGACTAGTACAAGCAGCCACGCACACAAACATGCACGTCGCTATATAAGTGCAATAATCTTGGACGCGACGTTAAACCCAATTTCACCTCACCTCACTTCGTGGCAGGGGGATGCAGGAATGGGTGCCGTCTTTCCATCCGTCCATCCATAAATCCGTCAGATTTCGTTTCCGGAGCAGAACACAAAAAACGTATGAGATATCTTAACCAAACTTGGCACAAAGATAGGTCTACTGGTGAACTGGTGCCTTTTGATTGTTCGGGATTTTAAAAAAAATTATTTTTCGAGTTTCCATGGCAACGACTTTGACTTAGACTGAAAATGGTGGTAGTCCTCGTTTCCGGAGCAGATCTTGAAAAACGTACAATATTTCTTCACCAAACTTGGCACCTAAGTAGGTCTCTTGGAAAACTGGTGCCTTTTGATACTTAGGGATTTGTGAAAAAAAATATTTTTCGAGTTTCCATGGCAACGACTTTCACTCAAACTGAAAATCACCAAATGTGGCACAGATCATGAAAACCGTACAATATTTCTTCACCTAACTTGGCATATAAATAGGTCTAGTGGTAAACTGGTGCCTTATAAAAGTTTGGGAGTTTTTACAAATGTTTCCTTAGCAAGCACTTAACTCTGAAACCGTTTACACATTCTACAAAAACATGTACGCAGGGTTGTCCGAGAACCATTACCATAATTACCTAATTGAGATGTATACCACTTTACAAAGGAACTTGGATAAGGTGTATGGTGAATTATTGTGAAAACACATTTACACGTGGCACCCGAAACAGCACACTTGAACATCGCAGTGCAAATAAAACTGAAACTGGAAGATTTCTTTAATGTGCGGAAAATGACTCAATTCATTCACTGTCAAACTCCCTGTCTTGGAGCTACACTGGACTTTATGTTTACTGATCATGCCAGTGCTGTAGCATTCAAGACTCCAGTCTACTACTCCGATCATCAGATGATTGGTGCTGTACTTCTCAGTACACCTCATGATAATCCCTGCTCTCATTGATCTCTAAGTAAAGCAAGAACTCCCTTTCTTCTCTGATTATTGTTTAAGTAATAACACAACTCATTACAAATACAGTTATGTATTCTATCATCAATTGCAGACGGCAAAACAACACCAGTAATAAATTTTTAGTGCTGCAATTAGGCCATTTACAAAAAGGTCCAGTGAACATACTTCACAGGAGCTAATGCATTGCACACAACCGGACATGTCATATTGGCGGGGGATGAGTATTTCATGCTTGTTTTTCTCGGTTTGTTAGCCCCATACCCATACGTTTCAGCAAAGTGGTCAACGTCACTTCGGCCTTTCCAGCCACATTAAGGTGACAAGCCGAGATACAACTGAAATATTGTTCAAAGCGGCCTTTGACCCAACTCGCTCATTCACTGACAACGCAACTCGCTCGCGCTGTCGCCATTCCAAATTCTACCGTGTTCTAATTAGCCCCCAGCAAAAAATGATGGTTGTACGAGTTAATTCTATAGATCGGTTGGTCATGCTTGGTGACATCCTTCCCCTATATCGTAGGAGGTTGCTCAAAATATCAATCATAGGTGTGTCTCGTTCAGACTTCTTATTTACAGCCGGGGTAGAATAGGTCTTCTGCAACCCATACTTGCCGTAAAAGGCGATTATGCTTGTCGTAAGAGGCGACTAACGGGATCGGGGGGTCAGGCTCGCTGACTTTGTTAATGCATGTCATCGTATCAAAATTGCATGGATCGATGCTCATGATGTCAATCACTGGATTGTCTTGTCCAGACTCAATTATTTACAGACCGCCGTCATATAGCTTGAATAGTGGTGAGGGCGGCGTTAAAAAACATACAAACAAACACTGTTATATACAGACCATCGTCATTCAGCTGGAATATTGCTGAGTTTGCTGTTAAACAAAGCATTGTCTGATGTTTGCATCGACAGACGAATAAACTTCAGTTTAATCACATTTTGTGATGCATGCAACGTTCAGCAAAACGGGCAATACAAATATTTATATTCATGTTTGTGTTTTCAGCTGTAATATTAATTATAGAAGCACGCACCAAAATAGACGTACCGAGAGCGTCATTATAAACCTGCCACTTTTGCCAATATCTTATGTTGGTACCTTGATTTCACATCGTAACCAAGATCCGGGATAGAATAGGTCAGTAATATTCCAATATTCTAGCCATATGACGGCGGTCTGTAAAATATTCGATTCTGGACCAGACAATCCATTGTTTCACATCATGAGCATCGATCCACGCAATTGGGATCGATGACATGCATCAACCAAGTCAGCGATTCTGACCACCCGATCCCGTTTGTCGCCTCTTAGGACAAGCATAGTCGCCTTTTACGGCAAGCATGGGTTGCTGAAGACCTATTTTACCCCGGATCTTCACGGGTCCTAGTCCGTTATAGCTAACGGAACATGGGACTTGTCATTCACGTACGGGGGCACGGGTGGCCCAGTCGTCTAATGCGCCGCGATTCGCTTTGCAGAGTTGCGTCCCTTGGGCACGCCAGAAACCTATAATTGAGGGTTCGAATCCCGGTTCGCCCCAATTATGTTTCTAGGTTTGTAAGCACCATACCCGTGCTCGTGGGCTTCACCGAAGTGGTAAACGTCTGAGACCTGCATCACTTCGGGCTTTCCTCCCACATTAAGCTGACATGCTGCGATATAACTGGAATATTGTTAAAAGCGGCGTTAAACCTAACTCACTCACTCAATCATTCACGTACAGTTTCTTTGTCAGAGCAGGTCCCCAGTAGCCTGTGCCTTTAATGGCGGACTAAACTTTTTCCAGGCTCTGTCCATTTGTTGATTGGGTGGCACCGAACCTGCTAGAGTTTTACGTTGATCATGCTATCAACCACTGGTTTGTTTTGCCAGACTCAATTATTTGCAGACCGCTGTGGTATAGCTGAATATTGTCGACAAACACCCTATGTGATAAACACGTAGACTAACAGTTGGATCCAGAAAACAAGTTCTCATTTAAAAACATATATCCACAAAATAAAAAGTAAACTTCAAATGGGCCTGAACAATCTAGACTTGCCAAATCATTCTACACTTGAGTCGGATTCCTTTTTTAAAAAATATTCTCTAGGGCCCCCCTAGACATAAACACGGTATGTGGCGAGACGATATGAATGGCCTCTATCCTTGTCACGTGACCTCCTTTTGACGGACTGACCCTACTTCCGACATCGCCCTTTCAATGGCCCCACTTCCGGTCTGCGTGCTTCGTGTACACTTAGACATGGAATGTGTTATATAAACGTGAAGATTCACGGTTCACACGTGGTTGAGAGTTGACCCGCCCCTGCAAGTCTTCATATGAGAACAACCATCAGCTTCCTTCCCTGAATATACATGCAGGGGTTGGCAAGTGCACTTCGTCCATCCCATCCTTTTCATATAACACATGTTTGTTTGTTTGTTTGTTTGTTGTTTAACGCCGCACTCAGCAATATTCCAGCTATATGACGGCGGTCTGGAAATAATCGAGTCTGGACCAGACAATCCAGTGATTAATATCATGAGCATCGATCCACGCAATTGGGATCAATTACATGCATCAGCCAAGTCAGCGAGCCTGACAACCCGATCCCGTTAGTCGCCTTTTACGGCAAGCATGGGTTGCTGAAGACCTATTCTACCCCGGATCTTCACGGGTCCATATAACACATGAGTTACATTGTTTGATAGGCATTACCTAAAAGTTGACGGATTACAAAGTAGACACAATTTATGTATGCCAACTTATTTAGTTACTGTAAAGGTGATTTGTCGGTAATATAGGTGAGGTGAGGTGAGGTGAAATTGGGTTTAACGTCGCGTCCAAGACTATTGCACTTATATAGCGACGTGCATGCACGTGTGTGTGTGGCTGCTTGTACTAGTCCGGACTAATGCCGATTTATAGTGCTAGCCCATTGAGATACCATGCTGCAGTTTAACATGATACCCTACTCAGACACAGCATACTGACTCCGACCCGACCAGTCCTTGTTTTAGCCCCTTAATGCCGAGCGCCAGACAGGGTAACAACAAGTACCATCTTTTAACGTCTTTTGGTATGACGCGGCCGGGGATCGAACCCCGGACCTTCCGCTCTCCGGGCGGACGCTCTACCACTAGACCACGGAGGCGGTCGTCGGTATTATAAGTTGTAGTAGCATCACGAGGGGTACATGGGGTTTTATTCCACGAGCCGGAGGCCGGAGGCGAGTGGTATAAAACCTAACGAGCGACGCAGAAAACCCCATGTACCCCGAGTGATCCTGCTACAACGAATTTATCTTACCGACATGTTTTGATGTGACATTGTAAAATAATTAACATGAATTCACGGCGGTTCGATTGAGCTGAGCTTAATTTTTGCTATGTCATGTGACTGCTATTGATTCGGAAAATGCGTGCTGCTTTTTGCTTTGAAGCGGGGTATAAAGGATTTATTCTGCCTCTCAGAAATCCACGTGCATCATGTTTTGCTCGTGGCGGGGTATAAAAGATTTATTCCCCCGCTGAGAAATGTATTACCCTCCAAGGCGGGTTACGCAGTATTTTATC